GGCGGTGGCTTGGGGCCGAGGAGGGAGCCCTGGAGGCTGGGGTCAGGCAGGGTGTGGGGAGGGCACTGGGCAGCCAGCAGGATGCCAGGGGCCGTGCCCCTGAGCCGCCTCCTGAAGGAGGCCTCGGGATAGACCTGTGCTCAGTGAGCTGTGTCTCCGCAGTGCTTCTGCTGCTGTCACATCCTGGGTGCATGAGGGAGGAGGGGACAGGCGGCGAGGTGCTGGGGGAGCCACGTCCCTGTCCCCGAGGTTATGGGGCAGCAGAGAGCCATCCCGCCGGCGTGTGCGCAGGGCAGTCCCCACAGCTGGAGTGGGTACTGCACGGATGGTTTTGAAGTTGGGATGTTGGGCAGGTGTGTGCCCATCTGTGAGTGCGCCAGCAAGGTGTTGGGGGGCTTTCTCGTTGCCAGGTGGGATGCAGCCTGTGGCTGTGGGGGAGGTTGGATATGTGGCCTTGGAGAATAACACTGCAGTGCCACCTTGGTAATGGGAGTCCTGTGTCCTTCAGGCATGCCGTGGTAGCCTCAGTTCCCGACTGCTGGCGTGGCCCGTGGCAGTGTGGTCCCCGACCGCTGGTGTGGCCCGTGGCAGTGTGGTCTCCGACCGCTGGCGTGGCCCGTGGCAGCGTGGTTCACGACTGTTGGCGTGGCCCGAGGGCCCCTGGCCTCTCCCCAGGTCTGCGCTGCAGTGCTACAGGATTGCTGGGAAATGCTGGCGCCTGCGGTGGGTTTAGATGCGTCCTCCTCGTCCTATGATTGGCATCACATGGAAAAGTGGGCCCTGACTCCCAGCTGCCCAACTGCGGGTGTGAGAAGGGGTCCCTGGGAGGAGCAGCTGCAGAGTGAGGAGGCCAAGGTGGACCTTGAGAGGAGCCGCCAGCCAGCCCCTCAGCCTGCGAGTCCACAGATGGTGGTCTCAGTGGTGCAGCTGCAAGGGTCAGGAGAAAGATGGGTGGCTGGCGTGGAGACGAGTGGCCCCAGGTGTCCCCTGTGAGTGACTCAGTCAGAGCGAGGCACGGTGAGTGACCAGTGTGCCACGGGAGCAGGCAGTGGGTGAGGGGCTGGTCCTTCTGTCTGTCAACTTAAAGAGGGTGCTTTTTTAAGATTTATTTATTTATTACACAGAGAGGAGGAGAGACAGAGAGGAAGATCTTCCGTCCGTTGATTCACTCTCCAAGTGGCCTCAAAGGCTGAAGCTGAGCCTATCTGAAGCCAGGAGCCAGGAGCCTCTTCCAGGTCTCCCACACAGGTGCAGGGTCCCAAGGCTTTGGGCCGTCCTCCACTGCTTTCCCAGGCCACAAGCAGGGAACTGGATGGGAAGTGGGCTGCTGGGACACAAACCTGTACCTATATGGAATTCCAGCACATTTAAGATGAGGACTTTAGCTGCTAGGTGACTACATCAGGCCCAAAGGTGGTTATTTTTTAAAGTTAGTTTAAAATCGGGGCCCGGCAGCATGGCCTAGCGGCTAAAGTCCTCACCTTGGATGTGCCGGGATCCCATATGGGCACTGGTTCATATCCCAGCAGCCCCACTTCCCATCCAGCTCCCTGCCTGTGGCCCAGGAAAGCAGTGGAGGACGGCCCAAGGCCTTGGGACCCTGCACCCACGTGGGAGACCTGGAGGAGATTCCTGGCTTCTGGCTCCGGGTTGGCACAGCATCAGCCGTTGCGCTCACTTGGGGAGTGAATCATCGGACAGAAGATCTTCTCTATCTCTCCTCCTCTCTATATATCTGACTTTGTAATAAAAATAAATAAATCTTTTTAAAAACTTAGTCTAAAATCAGGGTTGCCGAGTGGAGGGTGGAGAGCAGAAGTGGGGGTCATTGCCAGGAAGCCCATGTGTGGAGGCCACAGGCATGGCCGCCCCTCCCAGTACAGTTTTGGGGCTGGCTGCCTCTGGAAGGCCGTGCACGCCTCCCAGTGCTGGCGACCACATGCACTGCTCCTTCAGAACCCCTTCTGCTCTGAGCAGCCGGCGGATGGGCATGGGACGTGCCACATGCTCTGTGCTAGGAGCTGCCCTTCCCCTGCCCTGGGGGCCCGCTGGGCATGGGGCTGGTGTGTGGCCACCCCTCCATGCCACCCGGTCCTCTCCCGTTGGCTGTCCTGGCCAGTCTGCAGCAGACTCAGGCTTGGAGCAGTGTCACCGCGAGAGCAGAGTATGGCTAACTGGCTGGGCTCGCCACCCGACCCTGCCCGCCTCTACAGGCTGGCACCCTCTCTGAGCCTTGTCCATGTGGAAAAGCAAGGACCAAATCATGTTGGAGCGAGGATTTGGGGGTCAGAGCCCCTCCTCTCCCACCCCTTCAGAACACCTGTGCTGTCCGCGTGCCCTTTGCTGGCGGCCCTCTGGGTCTTGGCTCTCCCATCTGCAGCGTCCTGGGCTGTGCTATGCCGGAGTGCCGGGAGCCCCCGGACCAGATGCCCAGACTCAGGACTCAGGCTGCACCCCATTAGTGCCTGCTGGACGTGAGAGCCCAGGAGCCCCCGGAGCTCCGGGACGGGTCCCTGCGTCTCCCCTCACTGCACCTGTTCTGTTGCTCCAGGCTCTGGGAGATGTTCTAGGGTTTCTCAGTGGACCCCGCAGCATCCTCCTTCCCTCCCCGCTGGCCGTGTGGACACCGTGTCCTCCCTGAGGCTGCTGGCTCCGATTTCCTGTATGCCCCACGCCCTCCCGCATTTTTACGATGCTGAATCTAACCGCCACATTTAAGTGGGTGTCGGGGTCTGCGAGCGGCTCTTGGCTGTTTGTTCCTGAGGGCTGTGGGGCGCTCTGGCTGGGACTCTGAGGGGCTGCCCCCTCCTGCTGAGCCTCCCTCCACAGCCCCTTGGGGGGATTTCCTGGCGCTGTGCCGAGGGTCCTGCAGGAGGGAAGAGGAGCCATTCTCTGTGTCCTCAGCTGTGGCTAGTCTTCCACACCCACCTGTGTGTTCCTGACGTTCCAGGGTCCCAGGCCAGAGACAGGGCAGCCCGCGTGTATACAGGGCCGCAGTGTATTGGCAGGGCACAGGGTTGCAGAGGGTGCAGGCGGTGGGCTCCCCTTTGCCCGTGGATGCGGTGTGAGCTGTGAGTGAGGGACCATTCCTGCTGCTCCCGGGCAGGGGAGACCAGGGCCCGGCATGGGTCTGGGAGGAATGCAGCTCAGCCCGCCTCAGTTCCAGCTGGCACCTCAGCGTGCTGCCCTCTGGGCTGGTGAGGATGGAGAGGGGGTCATTGTCCAGCAGCAGTTTCCCAGAAACCTAAAAACAAACCAACGAAAGCACAGCCACCTCCTGCCTCTGGACCGGGCCGGTTCTTCTCAGAGCTACGCCCCACCCCCTTGCCGCCCACTCAGGGAACAGGTGTGGAACTGGGTGCCCACAGGTGAGGGTGGCCGAGCCGCCTGCAGCCGGAACCAGGCAATTCCCGTGCCCATGAAACATTGATGCAGACACTGTCACATGCTGCCACTCGCGTCCCAGCACGACAGGGATGAGGTTCATGGTCTATTTAAAGAGAAGGTTCCAGAGCTCAGCCCTACTGCCTGTGCCCTGCCCTGGCACCTGCTGGAAACCAGCACTTCACTGCTTGGGCTCAGCAGTGGCCTGGGGGTTGAGGCACCCCAGGGAGCAGCGTGGATGCCTGGGGACCCCTCACTGCTGGGGTGACTTCTCAGCCCCAGACCTTGCCCCAGGCCGGAGCACCTCCTCTCGCTTGGCTCCACCCTCTGACCTCCCTGGGGCTGCTGTGCCAGGGGTGGGCCACGTGGGGCATGGGCAGTAAGGTGCCCACAACACCAGGCGTGTGTGTCCCCTCAAGAATGCATGTTACCTAGCCAGGCAGGACAATGCAGCCACCATGCCCAGGAGCCCCTGCCCTGTGTGCCCAGGTGATGGAGCTTGGATGGCAGAGGGCCTGGTGTGTGAGGGTGGCTGTTTGGGGTGAAGCAGGAGCGTGTGTGAGCAGAGCTGTGGAGATGGGGTTGGGCTGCTGCTGAGGCACGGACTGGAGTCTCTGGGCTATGCATGGTTGGGGTCTCACCCCCCAGGTGGGCTGTGTTGAGGAAGGGGCCAGCTTGGAGGTGAGGAGGCAGACAGGTGGCTAGAGGGCTGGGCCAGGCTGTCCTGCCAGATCCCAGCCCTGTCCCTCTGGAGAAGGGATGCCCAGCGTGGCCGGGTCCTATTTGAGGTGACCCAGGGGAGCTGTGCTCCCACGTGCAGACTCTTGGTGTTTAATTCACATTCAGCAAGAGCTGCAGCAGGTCCCGCCCAGCTCCTGGGCCTCCCTGTCCAGGCTGTTGGCAGGCCGAGTATCCATGGGACAGGGAGCCTCCCTGTCCAGGCTGTTGGCAGGCCAAGCGTCCACGGGACATGGGGCCCTCCTGTCCCCCCACGAGGCTGTTGGCAGGCGGAGCATCTGCAGGGCTGGGAGATGGCCTTGCCTTGGGCTCCGGTCTCATGTCCAGTAGCTGACGGGCCTGTGGCCAGGTTGGTGCTGGCATGCCTGCTGTGTGAGGCGTGTGGGTCCTGGCAGGGTCAGGAGCCTGAAGGCTGTGAGAGGAGTGCGTGCTAGCTGTCCTCACCCCGTGTGTGGGACACAGGATGCCGTCGGAGCCGCACGGAAACCCACACAACAGCCATCTTTGCTTTGAGGCCCCAAACCCTTGCTTTCCTTCACGGTTCCAGACAAGCTCTGCCCTCTTTAGGGGACCACTCCCTGCCCAGCAACCCCTCCACAGCCCCACAGCCCCTGCCGTGCCCTCTCTGTGGATCACGCCCCCTGGGTGGAGTCACGCGGCAATTGGCCGCTTCCAGTGTGTGACATCCTCAAGTCCCCTGGGTCCTGGCCTGGGGTGGGGGTCTCCCTCTCGTCTCCTTTCCCACCCCTCCTTGGGGTGCAGCCTGCCCCCTCCCCTCCCCTCCTGGGGTGCAGCCTGCCCCCTCCCCTCCCCTCCTGGGGTGCAGCCAGCCCCTTCCCTGCAGACCTCACGCTCACCCCACTCCTTGCTCTTTCCAGGCACGTACCAGGGCCAGTGGGTCGGTGGCATGCGCCAAGGCTATGGCGTGCGGCAGAGCGTCCCCTACGGCATGGCGGCCGTCATCCGCTCGCCCCTGAGGACTTCCATCAACTCCCTGCGCAGCGAGCACAGCAATGGCGCGGCGCTGCACCCGGACGCCTCCCTGGCCGTGGCGGGCAGCCCGGCCGTGGCGCGGGGCGGCTTCGTGCTGGTGGCCCACAGCGACTCCGAGGCCCTCAAGAGCAAGAAGAAGGGGTTGTTCCGGCGCTCGTTGCTGAGCGGGCTGAAGCTGCGCAAGTCCGAGTCCAAGAGCAGCCTGGCCAGCCAGCGCAGCAAGCAGAGCTCCTTCCGCAGCGAGGCGGGCATGAGCACGGTCAGCTCCACGGCCAGCGACATCCACTCCACCATCAGCCTGGGCGAGGCCGAGGCCGAGCTGGCCGTGCTGGAGGACGACATCGACGCCACCACCACCGAGACTTATGCCGGCGAGTGGAAGAGCGACCGGCGCTCGGGATTCGGCATCAGCCAGCGCTCGGACGGGCTCAAGTACGAGGGCGAGTGGGCCGGCAACCGGCGGCACGGCTACGGCTGCATGACCTTCCCCGACGGCAGCAAAGAGGAGGGCAAGTACAAGCAGAACGTGCTGGTGAGCGGCAAGCGCAAGAACCTGCTGCCCCTGCGCGCCAGCAAGACCCGCGAGAAGGTGGACCGGGCCGTGGAGGCCGCCGAGCGCGCCGCCACCATCGCCAGGCAGAAGGCCGAGATCGCTGCTTCCAGGTAGGAGGCCCGGGTCCAAAGGGCAGAGCTGAGGGGCTCCCGGGACCTGCCGCGCCCTGCCTGCCCGGTGGGCGCTGGCCCTTGTGCTGTCTGGGCACCGGCCTGGCTAAGGGCGAGGGTGGGCAGCTCGCACCCCAAGTGCTGGCAAGGCCCTGCTGGCCCAGCTGGCCATGAGGGGTGCCACGTGGCTTTCCAGGCATCTCTAGGAGGACAGAGGCTGCTTTTGTCCTAGGCTGGGCAGGCTGCCCTGCGGGGAGATGCTCCCGGTCCTTCTGAGAACCTGGGACCCCGGGGCAGGGGTGCCATGGAGCCCCTGGTGGGTCCGTGTCCCCACTCGGGGCAGCCCAGCCCTCAGGACCTGTCGCTCTCACATTGTCGTGGTTTGTGTCAGTGACATTTGACCCTTTGGTCAGCTGGGGGCTGTGGTTGGGGGTGGGAACCGGTCGCTCTCGGTGTCTGCGGTGTTGAAGGGGCTGGAGACCACCGCGAGAAGCCAACAGGGAACAGAGCTGCTCCTGAGGCCTTGAGCCCACCCCCTGCCGTCGGCCCCCTCCCGTGCCCTGGCTGGGGTTGTCCAGGCAGGAAGTGAGCAGGTGCTCCCAGGGCTTAGAGTTAGTCTCAGGTGCATGGCTTGTTCCAGAAGGTGGTGGCCACGCCACACTGTGACCCAGACATTCATGTTGCGTTTGGGGAAGGTTCCCTCTGTCCACTGGTGGCCTCTTGCCAGTGTGTGCATGTGAAATGGCCGACAGGACCCCCGGCCTGCCTTCCGTGTGGTCACCACAGGGCCCCGTCCCGTCTTGCAGGCCCCCACTGCTTGGTGAGGCAGGCCTTGCCGTCCACCACTGCTGCCCACCTGTGGCCCCATGGCCCACAGGGGGTGGGGCCACGCCTGTTCCCCCCCCCCCCACAGGTCTGCCAGTCAGCAGCAGGGCCGTGTACGTGAACCTGGGAGAAGGCCCACCAGGCCCTTCCTGTGCACCTGCTCTGAGATCCCGGGACCCTCATCCAGCTGGGCGAGCCCCGGGCAGGTTGTTGAGCCCCCCAAGGCCTAGCACATGGGGCTGGAGCCCACGTCAGTGCCACTGTCGCCCACCTCACCCCGCCTGCTTAGACCCGTGCCGGGCACAGACTCACAGGTGGGGCCTGGCCTCCTGGTCCCTGGAGTGCCCTGTGTCCTGAGCCAGCTCACAGCCGGGCAGCTGGGCAGCCAGGCCTGGCAGAAGGGGAGCTGTTTCCTGCTTCTTCTCTGCGGGTTCAGAATATGGGAAAATACACACACACACCCATATACACACACACACACCAACACCACACACCCACACAATACCACCCACACACACACCAACACCACCACACACCAACACCACCCCCACACACACCCACAGAACACCCCCCCACACACACACCACCCACCCCCACACACATACCAACACCAACCACCCATGCACACATACCCCCCCCACACACATACCCACCCACCCACCCACACACACACCAACACCAACCACCCACACATACATACCCACTCACACACACCAATACCACACACACACACACACACCACCGCCACCACCCCCCGCCTCCCCCCCCCGCAGGCTCAGATTGTGGCCCTGTCCTCAGCGCAGCTGGCAGGTGACTGCCCAGGCCCACTCTCCACTGGAGGCTGAGGGCAGTGGCTGTGGCCACGAGGGCCTGCCAAGCCCAGGCTGACCCCTGCCTGAGAGGGAGGCAGTGCATGGCTTGTGCGTCCCTGCAGAGCAGCAGCCTCATAAGGGGTGGCTGTGAGTGTGGGCGGGACTGCGGCGTCCTGCGGCCAGGCAGCCTGGACCTGGAGAGCCGACGAGGACCCACGTCCCCTGCGAGGAGGGCTCGACTCGGGACCCTGTGGGAGTTGGGTTGAGAGTCCCTCAAGTCCCCGGTGGGTGCCCCCGAGGTCTGTGGGGCTTGGAGGCAGCAGGTGGTCGGCCCCACCCCCAGGCTCCGTCTCACTGCGCCCAGGAACCCGTGTCCCCACCCCCAAGTTCCCGATGGCCTAGTGGACCTGGCAGACTTGGGGCAGGGCTGGGTGAGGGCATGTTGTACCCCCGCCTCTGAGCTTCTGCCAACCCAGTCAAGGGCATGGACGGGGCAGGGGGCTGGCGAGGAGCTGAGCAGTGGCCTCCTCAGGTGCACGTGGTCAGGGTCCCCTCCGAGCTGTGGGCGGAGTGAAGTCGTCCTTACGAATGGCACTCTTCCAGGAGGCCTTGTGGGCCGGGAGGGCCCTAGGCCTATGCTTGGGGTCCTGATTTGGCCTGTCATCTGTCACTGGGCGTGCCACATCCTGCATGAGAGGGCTTGGGTTCGAGTGCCACCTCCATGTCCAGTTCTGTTCCCTGGAACGTGTGCCCTGGGACCCTGCAGGGGTAAGAGTTTGGGTATGCCAATGGGGAACCTGGCTCTGACCTGGTGCAGCCAGGGGCCGGGGCATGGCTGGGGTCTGTGTTCCAGGGGTCATTGCTGGCGGTAGCTGCAGGGGACAGCACGGCCTCATGCCTGCTCCCTCCCTCCCAGGCTCTCTTGCAGAGGGACTGATCAAAGGTAGCAAGGGCCTAGGTGAGGCCACGTCTCCTCTGCCGGCTATGGAGGCCCGAGGAAGGAGGGGCGAGGCGCTGTCCCCATCCTCGGGTGTGGCAGGAAGAGGTGACCTGCCCTGGGAAGCCCTCACCCTGACCCCTCTGGGAGCCAGGCGTGGCAGGTGACAGAGCCGCCTCTATGTCCCCACCCCCTGTCTCTGTTACGAGAACTTTCTCAGGACCATGCCAGGCAGTCTCCAGGGAGAACCATGGGACCCCACAAAGCCTCTACCTTTTTGAGCCTCCGTTTACATGTGTGTGTGTCTGGCCTGGCTGGGCTGCAGCCGGCATGCCCAGGCCTGCAGAGTGCCCTGCGTGGGGCAGGGACCTGCGTCTCTGTTTACTGTGGCGTCCTTGGGGGTAGGTGCTGCCAGCTCTCCCTGGGGGGCCTCCCCCAAATCAAAGCCTTCTGGCCACCCATCCTGTGGGAGCCAGCCACCCGTAGCCCAGGCCTAGGGGCATCCAGACGTGGCCCCTGGTCACATGCCACCTACTGACAAGGTTCTCCGTCACTGCTGAGCGGTCCGGCTGTGGGGGCATCTGGAGCTAGCTGGCCTCGGGGCTTGGAGCGGGGCATCGAAGTGCAGAGGTCCTCAGGCCCTGCCAGGCTTCTCCCTGAGGACCGCGCTGCTCCAGGGCTGTGGGACCCCCACCTGGGCACCGAGTTCCCTGATGCTCTGAGCCCTCCCTGCTGGCCTCAGCTTTCCTGCCTGTAAAATGGGAACCTCCTGTTTGGGTTCTGCAGTTTTACCTTCCAAGTGATCATGACTGCTGGCACAGGTCACATTAAAAGGACTCAGCTGGCCAGATGGCTTGGGCCCGAGCCAGCACCCTCCTCGAGGCCAGGTGCAGTGTGCCTGTCCACCTTGAAGGACACAAGGCTCCACAGGACACAACTCAGTCAGGTGTCGGGGTCCCAGCCTGCTCTGTGGCCCCTGCTGGAAGTAGTCCCCAGCAGGTGGCCCTGTGTCCTGTGGCTCTCAGGGGTGGCGCGTGCCCTGGCCCTCCATCCCTGAGCTGTCGGCCGTGGCCACCATCGTAGCTGGCGGCCAGCACTGTAGGCTGCTGTCACAGTTGCTGATTCTCTGTTTCCCAGAGACTGGCAAATAGCCACAGACTTTGTGGTTTGTGCAATAGCATCTGTGTTCCACAACTTGCAGGCCAGTAGACCCAGAAGCAGGTGCTGGCCCCAGCAGGGGAGCTGTGCCGATCCGAAGCCAGGAGCCAGGAGCTCTTCCAGGTCTCCCATGCGGGTGCAGGGTCCCAAGGCCTTGGGCCGTCCTCAACTGTTTCCCAGGCCACAGGCAGGGAGCTGGATGGGAAGTGGGGCTGCCGGGACTTGAACCAGTGACCATATGGGATCACGGTGCTGCAGGCTTTGGCTTTACCCACTCCCCACTTCCGTGGGACGGAAAAGGTACATGCGACACATAGCAAAGGCCTATTTACTCATCGAACACTCCAGGGGTGGGCATGTGACCCCCACGCCCCGGCTGGTCATAACCCACGGTGCCAGACGCTAGCAGCAGCACCAGCAGACCTTGTGGTGGGGCTTCCCCAAGCCCACGGATGGTGGCATTCCGAGACGAGCTGACTTCAGCTGCTGCTTGGGATCCACACACGGCTTTTCCCTGGTGTGTGTTCTCCGGAAACTTTCTGGAATCCTTGGGTGTGGCGTGTTGGCAGACACCTGGGGTGCACAGGTGGGAGAGAGTCGGTGCTGGCCGAAGGCAGCAGAGGGCGTACGTGCTCTCGGGAGCGCCACGCTCATTGCCAACACGGGTGTGTGCGAGGACACGTGAGACCCGGGGCTGAGGCCCATGGCTCCGCTCCCGGCTCTGGCTAGTGCAGGCCTAGCTAGGTTCAGTCACTTCTGCCACCACTCCCACCCCTTCAAGGCAGGTGCCTACCCTCTGCCCCCACCCCACGCATTCCCTCCGCACCCCACAGGCCCCGGGTTGCTGTGCATGCTCTGGGGTCCATGCTGGTTCTTGCTGGCAGGACGCAGGGTCTGCAAGCCTGGCCTGGCTGGCTTCTCAGCTAATCTCGTCCCAGAGCCCATGAGGCCCATGAGGCTCAGCACCACACAGCACCCTCTGCCTGCTGCATGTGTGGACTCCTGGCCGGCCCTGCCTCCTCCAGGAGGACAGCCAGCAAGGAGAGGGGCTGGGCTGCAGGCTTTCCCGTGAGGAGAGGTGACTGTCAGCAGGTGTGGGCAGACCCACCCCCCTCTCCTCCCCAGGAACTTGCTAAATATGCAGGCTCTCGGGTGCTGCCCAGTCCTGCCAATCAAATACAACCAGTGCCAAGAGCCTGGTGGGGTGATGGGGTGCCCTGAGCTGGGCGGCTTTCAGGGCAGTGCCTGTAGGCTGCTGGGAAAGCTAGGGATTTCCCAGGAGCAGTTGCTGCCATGGCTCTTGACACCCCACAGGGCTGGGCCCGCCGGGTGTCCACGTGGCAGTTTCCCAGGGGTGCAGGCTCTTGACACCCCACAGGGCTGGGCCCGCCGGGTGTCCACGCGGCAGCTTCCCAAGGGGTGCAGGCTCTTGACACCCCACAGGGCTGGGCCTGCCAAGTGTCCACACGGCAGCTTCCCAAGGGGTGCAGGCTCTTGACACCCCACAGGGCTGGGCCCGCCGGGTGTCCATGCAGCAGCTTCCCAGGGGTGCAGGCTCTTGCAGCTGCTGGCTGTTCTCGGGCTGCTGCAGGAGCCTGATGCTGGAAGTGCGAGACGTCACCTGCTTTTGCTCCTAGAACTTTCTCCGCAAGCTGCCCCTGCACGTCCACGATCGCCTGGGCTTTGCATTTGTTCACTGTACATTACGGACCCACTGTTGGGTCCCCTGCTCACCTTGGCCTCTGGGGAGCTCAGAAGAGGCAGAGCATCAGCCCACATCTCCCCAGCTCGACAGGAGCACTGTGCACCTGGACCCAGGGAGTGGCCATTTGCCCACTGGGGCCACCTAGGTCAGACCCCATGCTGTGTGCTGGGATGAGGGTGTGGTGGGGGGCACAGGCCTGCCAAGGCCCTGTCAGGGCTTCCTGGGGCCTATCAGTGCTCCCCACCCCCCGCTGGGCCAGGAGCCGCTGCCATGGGCCCCAGGATTGGAGGCAGGAGCCTCCTGGGGGTGTCTGAATTCAGTGAGGCTCATGAGGAGGCGGCGGTCCCTGTCCTGGGTGCCTTGCTCCGGGTCACTGAGAGCACCCAGGTGGCTCACATCCCGTCGTGCGCAGCAGCACTTGCCAGGGCCAGGTACGGCTCAGCAGCAACAAAGGCAGCTGGTTCAGCTGTAGCTGCCATGTGGGCCCTTGGGCAAATGCATGACTCAGCGTCTCCTGCCTTGTCTGGGTCAGGGCAAAGCAGCTGGGCACACGGGCTGGGTGGCACCTGCCCAGGCCTGAGCTCCAGGCACACATGAAGCTGTTGGCTGCTGACAGAGGGATGTGTGGAGACTAGATGGACACGCAGGCGAGGGGCTGCCGGCCTCACAGCGCCTCCTCGTCTCCCCCAGGACCTCCCACTCGCGGGCCAAGGCCGAGGCAGCCCTCACTGCAGCCCACAAAGCCCAGGAGGAAGCCCGGATCGCCAGGATCACTGCCAAAGAGTTCTCCCCCTCCTTCCAGCACAGGGAAAATGGTGAGTCTGGGCTGCCAGCTGTGGGGCGTGGCAGGGGCCTGAGGGGACTGGGCAGCTGCTGGCACTGCTGACACGCATGTGGACAGTCCTGCTGTCCCTGGCCTTGCTAGGAGGGAGCCCCCTGCCCAGGGCCTGCCCCTCCCTTTCCCCTCTGCATGGGCTGCAGCACAGCGCTCTCTGGCCACTGGAGTCTGGGGAGCCTGCACCGCCGCAGCAGTTGTGCCTTGCCCAGCCAGGGCCTCGTGGGCTGGACAGCTGTCTCGGATTGCTCTCCCTCTGAGGCACCGGTCCCCAGGCTGGGCTATGGAGACCGGGCTGTGGGGCTGCTGGCAGCTTCGGGCTGTGTTCACACAGCCTGGTACCCACCCATGTCCTGGAGCTCGTGACCTGTGCTGCCACGAGGGAGGTTCTGGGGCCACCTGCCTGGCCCCCGGGACCCAAGTGTAAGAGTGCAGTGGGCCCAGAGCTGCAGCAGGCACCTGACCACCCCCACTGTGCCCCAACATGGGTGAGGACCTGGAAGGCCTGACTGCTCCCCTGAGCCGCATGGCAGGGGTGCAGCCCAGCTCTGCTCACCTGAGCCCCATGTCACAACCCCAAGGTGGGACAGGATGGCTGAGCCATGTGGACACTATGCTTGGGCCGAGCCTGGCTGGAACACGCAAATCCTGGCCTCCCCCATGGTGGCCGTGTCCTGCTGTGGCCGGGTGGCTGGCAGCGGTTGTCTCCGACAGAATTCCTGCGTGGGACTGCCCCTCTGCCCACGGCTCGTGGGATGGGGAGGCCTGGAGCCCAGTGGCAGCCCCACCCCCACCCCGTGTTGTCCCTTCCAGGGCTAGAGTACCAGCGGCCGACCCATCAGCTAGTACCATAGTGCTCGCACACACTCTCACAGGGCGCCGCTGCCACAGGAGAGCCCGGAGCTGTACCGCAAGGGCACCACCCCGTCTGACCTGACCCCCGATGACAGTCCTCTGCAGAGCCTCCCCGCCAGCCCGGCCGCCACCCCGCCGCCCGCCCCCGCCTCCAGGAACAAGGTCGCCCACTTCTCTCGGCAGTTGTCTGTAATACATATATCTTTCGTTTTCTTTTTTATTCCCACCCTCATCTTATTCTTTCTTTTATTTTACCTTCCTTTTTTTCCCCCTTTTCTTTCTCTTATCTCACCTCCTATTCCACCCCCCCTCTTACCATCTCTCCTATTACTTTCCACTTCCACTCCTTTAACAACCCCACCCCTTATCTCTTCGATTCTTCTCCCCACACACTATTCCAACCACCCCCTTTCATTCCCCACTTCTCATTTTTCTTCACTCATCTATCTTTCCTCTTCTCATCTCCAACCACACTTATTCTAATTCCTCCTCATATTTACATCCCTACCTCCTATTCTCCCCCCCTCTCTCTATTTTTCCATCCCTCTTCCTTTCCAACTTTTATCCATCTCACTGCCATTTTCCTCCACAACATATCCCAATCTGACTTCCACCACTTCCTTCCTCCAATCATCCTCATTATTCATCTCATCTTACTTTTCCGGGCTGAGCCCCGGCTGCTGCGCTGGGACCTCAGCTTCTCCCCACCCCAGAAGTCCCTGCCTGTGGCGCTGGAGTCTGACGAGGACACCGGGGACGAGTTGAAGCCCAGCACGGTGAGCTGCCGGGTGCTGGGCTCTTGGGGGGTCTGCTCTCGGGGGCGGTTTGCATCCCCCCATGCCAGGGGTTGGTGGGGGCTCCTGATGTCCTCTGGGGGAAAGCCAGAGACCCCTGCTACCCCAGTGATTCCTGGTCAGGAGCTCATGGTCACCTCCAGGGACATGAGAGCCCGGAAGGGACCCGATGGTTCTAACCTGCTGGCAGTAGGTGTACCTGCCTGAAGTCAGGGTACCACGGGGCTCAACCCCATGGTCAGTGGCCAGCCTGCACCTGCAGCTTTGCACTGCTGGCCACGGTGGCCTGTGGTGCACGTGGAGCTATTTCAGGAGCTGCCAGCCGGGCGGCCAGGCAGGTGCGGGAGCAGCTTCTATATTTAGCTAAGCCACACTGGCAGCTGGGGCCCAGGTGAGCCAGGGACGAGCTCCATTCTTGACCTGTGGGCCATGTAGGGGATGCAGGGGGTCCCTCCTTACCCTAGGGTGAGACTGGGCATTGCCGAGAGCACCCAGCCAGGCTCAGGGTGGCCAGAGGGACAGGGTCAGGGCGTCCAGTGCACAGCTGCTTGCTCTCCACACTGACAAACCTCAAGCCGATGTCCCGGAGCAGAGGTGCCGGGGACCCAGCGTGGTTCCTATGGCCTCACGGGACCCCATGCGACCGGGCAGCTGGCCAGGCAGTGGCAGGTCCTGGGATGTAAGGGCCTTGCTGTCATTCACTTCCTCCTGTGACACAGTGGCTGGGACCCTGGGCCCCACTGGGCATAAGGACGGTGTCCCAGTAGCAGAGTGGGGCAGTCATGGAGGTGTGAGTGTGTGGGGTCCTGGGACGGGGCACATGGTGCTGGAGGTAGCCTGCCCGGCAGCTGGCCAGTGCAAAGCAGCCCTCTCCTCAGGGCCTGGGCCCCCTGGCCTGCTTCCCTCCGTCTATGTCCTGTATGCAGGTGGACACAAGGTCCCTGCTTCCTGTGGGAAAAGGCCTCACACGCTGGGGGCCACTGGGGGCGAGGCCTGGGCTTGGTGGCCGCAGCCATGCTCCCAGCAGCAGTGGGCACACCTTGGTGCTGTGGCGTGTCCCTAGTGCCCCTCCTCCCCCAGTGGACGGGCCCAGGGAGCCTTGGAGGCCTGGGCAGGGTCAGTCCGCTGAAGCAGGGCGGGGGCGTCTTGCTGGTGGAGACCTGCAGGCCTGATCGGCCCAGGGAGCCTTGGAGGCCTGGGCAGGGTTTGTCTGCTGAAGCAGGGCGGGGGCGTCTTGCTGGTGGAGACCTGCAGGCCTGATCGGCCCAGGGAGCCTTGGGGGCCTGGGCAGGGTTTGTCTGCTAAAGCGGGGGGGGGGGGGGGGGGCGTCTTGCTGGTGGAGACCTGCAGGCCTGATCAGCCCAGGGCGACTGTGCCGTGTGCTCGCTAGCGCCACACTGGACATGCAGCTGGTGGGGCTGGGGAGACAGTGTCGAGGGAACACAGCCCCCCAATGGGTGTCTCAGGGCCCTGAGCTGGTGGGGCAGCTGACCCTAGGAGCTAGGACCCCCCCATTGTTGGTGTACCTACGCTACAGGGCTCTTGGTCAAGGGGCAGTCCTGGAGGAGGCATCCCACCTTCAGCCCAGGTCACCAGGAGCATTGGTGCTATGCAGAGCTGGGCAGTGTGCCCATTGGGACCAGTGTCCACAACTGGAGCTGCCTGGCTGGCTGTCTCCAGTAGTGTTGGAGTGCATGCACCCACTTCCTGGGTGTGAAGTGGGGAGCCACAGGACCACCACATGCTTCTCCAGCTCTCAGGGAGCTGTGCCCCTTCCTGTGGGGATGGGTGGCCCAGGGCCCCAGGCTGCAAGCTGAGAGCACCGACACCACAGTGACCCAGTTTGGGGGAGGGGGAAGAGGTAGGCACCGGTCCAACAGGGTCTGAACTCTGCAGAGGAGCCAGGCTCGGGGTGGGAGGTGTCCCCCAATGCCTGCGGGCCAGGAGGTTTCACAGCAGTGTTTTAAGAGCAGCCCTGGTCAGCTGTTCAACTGGCAGCAACTTTTCTACTCAGTATCCCCCCGTGGGACAGGGCGCAGGGGGCACCGATGCAGGAGGGGAGCCCCAGTGCCTCTGCCTGCTGGGGCAGCCTGGGTCAAGGTGAGACCTGCAGTGGGGAGACCCAGGGCCAACCAGGAGGTGCTGGCACTGTGGAGGCTGCTGGAAGACCCCCAGGGGTCATGCCCACCTCCTCCCCAGGAGGCTGCCTGGTGTGGGGCCGCCAGCACCCAGCAGGCAGTCACCTCCGTCTCTGTCGTTTCAGGGATCGGCGCCCGTCCTGGTGGCCATGGTGATCTTGCTCAACATTGGAGTTGCCATCCTGTTCATCAACTTCTTCATCTGATGGGACGGCCGTGGCAGGTCACCCGCTGTCAGCCCGACGGACACGGACAGCCAGGGACGGCCCGCGTCTGCGAGGACAAGCCTGGGTACCACAGTTTGCCTTTCCTTCCGGGTGACACATGCGGATTGTGGCTGTGTAACACGGCACTGCGTGGCAGGGCGGGGGGCAGCACCTGGCAAGGGGCCCTGGCCTTTGCTCTTCCTGATGCGGGTGTGAGGCGGGGGAACCGGATGTCCCGGCCCCGCAGGCAGCAGCCCAGGCCTGGGACGAGGGAGGAACCGCCACCTCCCCTCTTCCGCACAGGACAGACGACCCCCTCTGCTCGGCACTGCCTCCCCACCGAGTCTTAAGCAAAGCCCTGGGTCCCCGCCGCCCACCGCGTCATCAGCCCCGCCCCGCCGCCCGCCCCAGGGTGGCCGGTCCCCGACCTGCAGGGTTCTCACTTGTTCGAACTGTGCCTGCCTCGGCCCCCCAGACATGCACTGTCCCTCCCTGCTGCGCAACGGGCAGGCCCCAGGACGGGAGCGTGACTGCGTCCCGAGCCCGTCCCGAGCCCTCCCCGCCGTACCACGTACCTTGTTTCCGTCCAACAAACAGGTTCCGCGTGTCTCTGCCTTCTCTGCCAGGGGTGCCCCTCCAGCCGCCGAGAGGACGAGGGGTGTCCGTTGGGGAGCCCTCCAGAGCCTGGCCACGCAGGGCTGGGCCCCGCCCACCTGCGGACTCTGCCTTGCTTTGCTTGTGTCCAGCTGTGTCTGCCTTTCGAGCAGATCTCTTTCCTACACTGCACTGGATTGCTATATTTTTAACCAGAAATAAACGGAGGACTAGAGCATGTTCCGGCTGCCTCCCGTTTGACTGTTTTCCAACCCCGTCCACTCCCTGCTCCCGGCGGCTGGGCCTGGGTGGGTGTGGGGGAGACGCTGCTTTCTAACGGACCTTGCACCTTTTTGTACATCCTTGCCTTCCTTTTTTAATATGGAGTGGTTGCTACAGACTGGAGTGAACCAAATAAAGATGCCTGCTCTTTGAGGCCGAGAACCATCCGCACTGGGGTGCGTGTTCTGTCATCCATCTGCCGCTCCGGAAGCATCCAGGCCCACACGCCCACTGCTGGGGGAGGGAGCGCACAGCGCCCCGCATACCAGGGGACTGAGCTGGGAACTCTGCAGACAGGCTGGCCCTCTAGCCTCCCAGAACCCTGGCCTGGCCAGGCACACAGGCAGATGGGACTCCTGGAGCAACATCTGCTCCCCGGCTCTGGCCCCAGAGCCCTGCAAGAAGGGCCTGCCCACTGAGCTCACCTGTGGGAGGGCCATGGCAGCTATGCGCCTCTGGCCCCAAGCCCACCAGGGACAGGGCCCCACACTCACCTCAGGGCATGGAGCAGAGGAGGTCCTGCCGGCCCGGGGGGGGGGGGGGGCCAAGGCAGCACCAGTCAACAAAGAGGAGTGTCTGAGGGTACTTGGAGCCCTGCCCTGCCACGCTGATGGTTGACCTCCCACAAGCCTCCAGACATGTGTCCCCACAGGCAACGCCTCGACCATCCATGGCACCTGGTAGGCTGGTGCAGTGTGGCTGGGCTTGAGTGCATCAGCTGGTCCCACACTCAGGCCCTGGCACCCCCTTGCCAGAACCAGGGACCCCAGGAGCAGACGGAGGTGCTCAGCCCCAGGGAAGGAGGCAGTCCTTGGGGGCTTGGCCACTGCCTGTGCCAGGCATAGCTGCTTCAGCCAGGGACAGATGTCACCAGCCTGCCGGCAGGGTGACCTCACTTCTCCAGTCAACCCCATCACGCCAGGACACACAGGTGCTTCACCACACGCAGACTCCAGCTCCAGCTGGCACTCCTGCCCCGTCAGCTCTGCCTGCCAAACCACCACTGTGCTAAGGGCTGAAACCCAACCCAGGAAGTCAGGCAGAGGCGAGATGGGTCTGGGCTGGACACCCATCCCTTCCCCTGCCTGCTTCCTCATCCAGGGGAGCCCCATGTTACACCACCGCCCTCCAGCTTAGTCCACAGCCGCCAGCACCGACACTGCCCAGCCCCTTGTCACCAATGGCCTCCCAGGCCTGTGCCCTGCCCATGAGCCGCCCACTGCCGTGGCCAGCACGGCCGGGAGCCCGGAGCCCTGACTGGACAGGAAGCCCTGACCTGGTGTCTGTCATGGTTCTATGCCTGAATTGCTCTCCAGCTGATCTCTGGGTGCTGGGCCCGCATACCAACATGCTGACCGTGTTCTGAGAAGGGAGACAAGCCACGCTGGCCTTCTTTGCTTACACATTGGTCACTGACCAATGTGTAAGCAAAGACATTGAGCTGGCAATGGCTGTAACTCTGTCACTATGGGACGGCAGGGCCACAGTGGCGCTGAAGAACAGCCCCGCCCCGCGCCACCACCAGAAGCCGTGGGTAGTGTGCTCACAGCCACTGTAGGTGGGTCTTTGCTGCCAGTCCCTCCTCCCATCACCCCAGGAGCCGGAGAGTACACTTGCTTCTTCAGGAGCTGGGGTCTCCACCACACGAGACCCACAGGGACCTGAGGACACAGCCCGCACACCAGCCAGCTTTTGCCACATGCTGGCAGCAGATGGCACAGCTGTGGCCTGTGCCTCCGGGGAGCAGGTACAGGACCTAAGGGGTAGCGGGGTCCCATTCTGGTGAGGGTCTTGCGGGAGGTCCTTATGGCCCATCCTGCTTGGCTTCCTCCTGCCTGTCAGTCCCCTGAGCCATAGCACTCACCAAGCCCCTGCCAACCTGGAGCCAGTCAGAGTCCGCAAGCATTGAAGGCAAGTGTCCAGGGGGTTCGAGTGGCCTCAGCCTGAGCACCAGGGTTCCCCAACGCTGCCTAAGCCCCTGCACACCAGAGAGACCCTCACAATTCAGTGCTGGCTGCCGCCCACAGACCTCCCCGCCTGCCATCGGGACCCTCACTGCACCAGCTCCTGCCCGCCGTGCTCCCCACCGGCCACTGGGACCCTCACTGCACCAGCTCCCGCCCGCCGTGCTCCCCCCCGGCCACTGGGACCTTCACAGCACCAGCTCCCGCCCGCCGTGCTCCCCACCAGCCACTGGGACCCTCACAGCACCAGCTCCCACCCACAGACCTCCCTGCCTGCCACTGGGACCCTCACTGCACCAGCTCCCGCCCGCCGTGCTCCCCCCCCGGCCACTGGGACCTGACCGGAAAGCGGCAGACCCTAGCCTGTTCTCCAGGAGGTGCAGTCCAGTTGAAAATGGCCGATCAACATGCCCCTGGTCCTCAGCAGGGGTCACTTCCCTACTGCCACACCACAACTCGAGACTGGCTTCTGCCTGCCTGCCTGAGCTGTACCAGCTCCTGTTGGGCCCAGGAAGCCCACCACAGTGAGTCTTGTCCTGCCCAGCCCAGTGGTCGGCCAGGACATGTCTCGCTGACTCTACCTCAACAGCCAACACCTGTCAAAATCACAGCAACGCCAGCACCCAGGGCAGGATTTAAACGACCACCTTTGGTGCCGAATGCCCCAGGGGCCAAAGTCCGTGTCCTGGCTGCTCCACTTCCCATCCAGCTCCCTGCTTGTGGCCTGGGAAAGCAGCAGAGGACGGCCCAAAGCCTTGGGACCCTGCACTCAATGGGAGACCTGAAAGAAGCCACTGCAGCCATTTGGGGAGTGAGTCAGTGGACAGAAAACCTCTTTTTCTCCCTCTCTCCCCAACTCTTTCAAATAAAAATAAACACATCCTAACAAACATTGAGCAGTGGTTTTCCTGGTTTTTGTTCAGTTCAGCTCCAGCACAAGAAGCGCAAGGCTCTGCCAGCCCTCACACCAACTCAGCCCAGTGATGCCACAAACAAGCAGGGCAGGGGAGTTCTGGGGATGGGGCCCCTGGGCCAGTGTGCAGGGGTGAGGTGGACAGTACCCAGCCTTCACCCCCAGGAGCATCTCACTGCACCAGGGCAGCCGTGCGGCCTGCAGACCCACACATGGCCACCTCACTCATTGTCGGCCCACCTGGGCCAGCACGCCCAGCACACGTCCAGCACACGTCCCCGGCCTCACCAGCTACGCAGGCCACACGCAGGCAGCACCCCCTCCGCAGAGGCAGTCCTCTAGCGGGGAGCTTGCGCAGTTAATCCCCACCAGCCTTGGCCAGCCTCCTGCTACAAACCGGACCTCAAGGCCGAGCAGAACCCACGGCTGGGGCCACAGGGCATTTCCATCAAGAGAAGTTCTCTGCAGCCACCCACTGCACCTGCAGCCTTGCTGCGTCAGAGCGCCTTTTGGGGCACAGAACAACGCATGCCTCTCAGGACTGGGGGGCCCCAAAGGCCCTTGCCCTAGGCCCCTCTCTACGCCCAGGAGGGTCAGGCAGAGGTGGCTCTGGAATGAAGAGGCTCCACTCGCCCCTGTGTCTCAAGCCTGGTGGGCCCAGAGGGAGACACCACAGTCTGAAAGGACGGGGATGGACCAAGACGGTGATGCTTGACAGAGGAGTAAGAACTCTGTCATTTAAGATCTTACCATGCAGGGACTGGAAACCCACTTCTGGCTCACTCGGGCGAAGGAAAGCCAGCGCGTGAGGGCTGGCAGGGAGATGAACGCTGCCTTGCCTTCCCTCCCACCTAGTGCCTTCTGCCAACAGCCGCCGCGTACCTGCAGGGCACATTCCCAAAAGCCTACCAGGGACAGGGGAATGTCCTGAGACCCACGGAGCAGACCCACAGCAGAGGCCGGCAGGCAGAGGGGGACTTCCCTTACAGAGAACTCAGACCAGCAATGTGGTGGACCCTTGCTGGCTGTGGTGACTTCCGGCATCACAGCAGCCACATCCTGCTTAACAAGCAGGGGGTTCATCAGAACCTGCAGCAGGAAGAACCCACGAGGCCCAGGAAGCCGGCTTTTATTACAGCAGGGTCACGCGAGCCGCGCACGGCCAGAGGAAAGGAAGGGGATCCAGGGACAGCCCGGCAACCTGCCGCCACGCTGCTCTGCCGCCGCTGCTCACTGGTGGCCTTCAC